AAACAGCTTACAGCAATAAACTAACAGTAATTCTGACACACGTGTGGATTGAGGTGGAATTTTGACTTGCAGTTCTAAAAAAGATATTTCAGTTAAAAATGTGCAAAAGATAGGCATGCTTTATTAGAATTGATTGAAAAAAACATCAATATTACAATTTGTTGTTAGTGAATGAGTATGGTTTAGCAATATTCCAGTAATATCATGGCGGGGGATATCAGAAATGGGTTTCACACATGGTAACCATGACTTGTGGGGAATGGAACCTAGACCTTCGGCGTGACAAGCAAACGCTTCAACCACTAGGCTACCCCACTGCTCCCAATTTGTTGTTGAAAGAAAGTAGCCAGTTAGATTAACAGTAAAATGAGTGAATATGGTTTTACGCTGCTTTCAGCAATATTCCAGCAATATCATGGTGGGAAACGTTTAACATAGAAGTCAAGACCTGGACAATATATTTAAGAATTAACACCTAAAAAAAGTAAAAATCATCCAAAAAGGGTTCACTACAATATCACTTTTATAATTATACACCAAATACCACGTCATGACTTTTCCGAAGATAACTTCAACAAATAAATTTTAAAATGAGTTCACTTAGCCTCAACAATGCTTTTCTGCTCGCAACAGCAAATATTAGATGTCGGAAACCATTAGTAGAGGCAAGTAGCCCTCTTTAACATCATAAACCTAAATAAATCTCAAGTGAAGAACAGGCATATTTTTCTTTAATTATTTAAAAGAAACTATCAATTTATGTCTAATGTCATTGTCACTCATTTCGTAAAGTCACCCTGCAGGAAGAATTAATGACAAAATTGATCATTAAACATTAATATTGTTTGTCGTGATAATTCCCACTTCAACAACAAGGCAGTGCAGCTTCAGGAACGACCATCCCTCCATTAGGGATCACGGCGTCAGATGACTAATATTGATTACACCATCACAATTGATGCTGATATTAAATATTCATTAAGAATGTTCACCATTTCTAAAAGAATTCACAAAATGACATTACCCAATCCAACTAGCAGTAGAAGAGACATTATCAATTGATTAATATTGAATTTGATTATTTTTCATTGAGGTTATTGCATTTATGTTATTTAGAGAAAAAGGAAGACACATCATAATATGCTGAATGTGGTTGTGTCAGGAGTGAGTGAGTGAGAACGGTTTTACGCCGCAATATTCCAGCAATATCACGGCGGGGCACACCAGAAATGCGCTTCACACATTGTACCCATGTCGGGAATCGAACCGGGGTCTTTGGCGTGACAAGCAAACCCTTTAACCACTAGGCTACCCGACCGCCCCGGTTGTGTCAGGAAACTCAGGAAATACGCCACCACTGGGCCGTTACCTTGAGGTGAGGTACAATGTGCTTTAACGTCGCAGTTACGATTAATGCACTGATACAGCGACATGCATGTGTGTCAATGTGTCGCTGTGTGTCGTGCGTGAGAGCGTGCATGCTCATATCGTTTTTTCTTGTCTGGACATACATGGTTCTATAGAGCCAGCCAACTGAGATACCATGCTACAGTTTAACATGAATACCCCCTTAGACACACTGACAGTATACCAAGTTAGATTCCAACCAGTCCTTATCCCCATACACCATAATACGGACCAGCAGGCAAGGTAATAAAAAGTACCATCAAATAATGTTGTTTGGAATGACACAGCCAGGGAGTGAACAACCTACCTTCCGCTCTCTGGGCAAACGCTTCACCCACAACACCATGGAAGCAGTCATGTTACTTACAGACAATGATGTGTGAATATCAATCACAAAGTATCATTCTTCATATTGTAACATTCAGACAGAGAGCGAGTAAGGTTTTAGAAATACTCCAGAATTATTACAGAGAAACTAAAAAGAAAAGATATTTCATCAGATTTCTCCTATTTCAAAATAATTCTATTTGTAACTTTTCTAAGAAAACTTTTATTTAAGAAAATATTGCATTAATTTATGAACATACTCTTTCTTAATGCTCTAAATTGTGCAAGTTCAAATAAAATATAAAGCTGTTTGTCATTGAATTTCTACATTTTGGTCGGAATTTTAATTTTTTAAAATTCAAGATTTTCTTTCATGTAACTAACCTTAACTCCACCCTGACAACATGACTCACCATTTTTTACTTTCCTCACCATTTTTTTCTTTCTTCACCATTAATTTTTTAATCTTCCTCAAAATTATGTATTTTCCTCACCATTTTGAATTTCACCATTTTGTATTTTCTTCAACATTTTGAATTATCCTCAACATTTTGAATTTTCCCCACCATTTTGTGTTTTCCTCAACATTTTGAATTTTCCTCAACATTTTGAATTTTCCTCACCAAGCGTCCTGTCTGACAAGGAAAATCTCTTAAACGAGAAATGAAAATTGTTCTGTCCTTGTGGAAATGAACAGACTAGGAAGACATGTACTTGTTTGTTTGTTTGTTTGTTTGTTTGTTTGTTGTTTAACGGGCAGAGATATACAACTCACAACAAGATAAGGTACATTCACAACTGGAAGGCTGTGTTGCAATACCGACAAGCCATGACAGATTAATCATGGTCATATGACAAAATCGGGTGTTTCTTAACGTCTTTTGAGTAGTATACTAAACACGATGTGGGACTCAGGAGGAACTGAACATAGGTATATATACAGTATATACACCCAGCGCAGGAGAAACAGAACCACCCACGATCCATATGTTTCATATCCCAGCTATCAACATCATCAGGCAGAGGAAATATTTTTATCTGGTTTTAATCAAACTGGCAATCTCAGCCTCATCATCAGATTCTCTAAACATATATTTATTTGCATATCGGAAGCTGCTCTGAAAAGAGTGCAATAAAATCGAGAAATAGAAGACAGCATCTTTATCGGCTAATCTAAAGGAACCATTGAGAGTAAGTCACGCTCAATTCTTTTCCTCGGCCTGGCAAATAACTTGAACCTTTAACAAATAAAGTGAGATTTATGTATTTACACAGATTTCAGGTAAATCATCAATTTCTTTGTATCCATGGCAACGAGATTGGCAGCACCTGAGAAACACACCATAAAAGGTGGTTGAACAAGAGAAAGTTCCAGTCTACAACAGCCAATAAACAATGTTCACAGGACAAAATAGAATATGTTCGGGACAAAATCACCGCGATACCCAATAATGGTTTCTGGTTAAATGAAAGGAATTATTGACCAGAGAGTGATTCAGATGTATATCATTCTCCTGCTTCTGTTGCCATTTTGTGCATCCTTCTCGTGGCCAATACATTTTGTATCATCCATTTTGTTGCCTATGAGAGGGTTGGAGTTCAAGTGAAGCTGCATATTCTCATAAAATACGCAAAATATATCTCAATTACCCAACTAAAAGGTTGGATGATCGTGTACAAATATGCATGAAAATTTCCAAAACTAAACGGTAAAGCACTTGGCATAATATATCCCATTAAATTCTTTCTAACTTGCATACCTGTATTTCTCCACAGATCTAAATTTCTTAACGGAATGCAAGCATCACATACATACAATACTGCAGTGAATAATGCGCAATAACAGTGCTATGCCTCATTAGTGTTCGAAATAATTTTTAAATCCAACAAGAGAGTCGGGTAGTTGACCCATAAGTGTTGCCAGTCCATCTTCAAAGCTACCTGCCCACCTTCAGGCATCAGAAATTTTGAAAAATTGCCGAAACTAAGAGACAAATCATATCTTGATTCAGATGAAACAATGCAAACTACTGTTACCTACAAGGAGTTATAATAAAACTGAATACCTAAGTAGTCTTAAAATTATCTGCCAGACAGTCGGGTATGTGGAGGAAAATTTCATGCAGCCCGACAGAAACGTTACCAGCTACGGGCAGGCAGTTCTTTCAGACACTGTGTCTCGCTTATAGTTCATTAGTCATGTATATCTTTCTTGCGAGTTCATGTACACATGGAAAAGCATAAAAACAGATACAGAACCTGAAACACCATCTTGAGCAGAATTAATTGGTATAAAAATACCAAACAGACTTGATCCAAGGGAGTGAAAATATATTGAATACCCAATGAAAACTATCAATAGCCAATGTGAATGATAAGTAATCTGAGGCCCTAGTAGGTAATAACATTTCGTATGATCTGATGCTAATGACTCATATGAAAAAGTGACGATAAAAACATGATCCAAATGGAACAAAGGATTCAATGAGAACAAAATATGGAAGTAATAAGTGAGTGACAGGTTATAGATCCATGCGACTGCATTTTGCACAATATAAATGCTGGTTTAAAGAGGGAGACAGATTGACGGCGTGGAACTTGATAAGGATATACATCAGATCCGTAGTAATTTGTAACTTACACAAAGTCCATAACATAATGCCTGATTAATTCTTGGAGGAGAAGTCAGTTGTTTTATACAAACAGACTTGATAAAAATACATTCTGATACCAAAGTGAAATGATGGCTTGGTCAGATTACCTGATAGTCTTTTTTCACCTTGGTACTTTTTCATGTACAGAATCCCTGGACAAGTCTGTCAGGAATCACACCTGATCCCGAGTTGAGATATACTGCCATTGAGACAACGAGAGGTTGCACCTGATCTCGAGTCTAATATACCACCAATGAGAGGTCACACTGATCTCCGGAGTCGAGATATACTACCAGTGAGACAGAATGAGTGAGTATGGTTTAACACCGCTTTTAGCAATATTCCAGCAATATCACGGCAGAGGACACCAGAAATGGGCTTCACACATTGTACCCATGTCGGGAATCGAACCCGGGTCTTCGGTGTGATGAGCAAACGCTTTAACCACTAGGCTCCACCAGTTAGACTTTTTACTCCCAACATTGTGAAATTTCGGCAGGCGAATCTGCAAAAAATGTAGCTAAGGAGATAACAACCACTAATAACTGCCCCCTGCAGGAGCAATGATGTGGTGCTCCACGTGGAACTAAATCACCAAAGCAGTACACCTACCTCCTTTGTACCCAGGGTACATAGTAGATTCCGGTGGTGGGTTCGGGCCATTTTTCATTGGTTGACCGGGTACGGGTGGGGAAAACATCTGGAAAAGAAAGATTCATCAACAACTACAGATAAATCTCAAGTCTGGTGTCCAACAAGTAACTCCAGAGACAAAACATTCCTATCAATCCTATTGACAGATTCTTCAGTTATAAAACCTCCTGATTAGAATCGATCCTCTCAAAAATAGGATTCCCTCATCTTCGTCAAAACATCAGCAAATACTGAGATGACTTTTATGCGTATTTACTAATTTTACGAAGAGAAAACCAAGAATCTTTCACAAACTGTAGCCATGTGGCTTCAAACCTTGTCTTGGGGAGACAAGCTGGAACACTTCACGCAGGGACAACTCACCACCCCTGCTGAACGGGAGCAAACATTTTTGCCTGTCTGCCATACCCTACTAAGGGAGACAACTATGTATGCAGGTTTTTTAACTTTCCTCCAGACGTATCGAATATACATCCCTAATATGCTTGGCATACACTAAAACAAGTCATTACCCAAATCAAATTATACTTTCTTTCCCAAGACGCATTTAAAGTTGTTTTTTCAAAACTCAATGCCTTCCTGATTGGTAATCCAGAGCAGTATCAACTTATCCTGACTAATCCAATCTTCGAGACTCTGGAGGGACGCAATCATAGTTCATTTATTATTAACTGATAAAATTAATGAATGATTTTGCAATTGCTTCTGCATGAAGTCACAAATCGGCAATAAACGTCCGCAAGATCACAAGTGATAAAACGGTAAAAGGCGAACGGTCATAACAAAAATAAGACTTGGTGTAGAATTTTGATTATGCTATTTACACGTTTGAACTCAAAACCTCTCAATAATCGCAGTTTCAATTATCGCCATTCAATACAACGAAACAAAATAATTTTCAAATTACCAGATCTCATTTTCGGGCTGAAAATCAATTAGTCCATCGCCCGTGCTTTCACTACCATAAACTGTATCTAACAGCACTGATGATTGTAAGCCACCAGCATCGATCATCTCAATGCTTCACGACGCTCGCGCTTGCAGGCGGATTTCACGATTAGCCTTAACTTGTCAATTCAGCCAATAAACGTCTTTGATCTAAGACTTTGACAGTGAAACCAAATCGGCAGACAACTTTGTGTAGTATTCCCACTTTTAGTATTTCCGTCTGGAAATTATTTGTTTTCAACCTCTCCGAAGGACGAGGCAAATACAACAAGTAGATTAGTAAACAATAGTGACGATTTCAGGAGGAATATGATCGTTGTAAGATATTTCAGTCTGATAAGTCAAGATTTCTCAACAGATTCCTACACAATTCAAACACCGGTATTATTTACATGATCAAGAATATAAAATGAGTTTTCAAAATTTGAGTGTTTCTGCATATTCTGTTGACAGACAATGTATTTCTGTGATGTAATGGTGCTTGGTGAATATAGAGAAGTATCGCCCTAATTTCACTGACAATGAAGTAAGATGTGAAGTTGGCAGCCAGATGTTAAATTCATTTCAATAAATCATCAAGGTCGGACACATAAGTCTAAGTTGAAAGCTAAAAACGTGCAAACATATTGAACACACATGTTCGTATCTTGATAATTGCCCAAAGATATTCTGGTTTTCTTGCCTCTCCAATTTGTATTATTTTATTATGATTATTTTTACTTTTTGGTATCAAAATCAGAAAAAAAGATTATATCTGCAGTACATTTATAAACAAAAAAATATACCAAACCAATCTTATAACTTTATGAATATTGGATCATGTAATAAATCATTATTAAATGATTAAACACATATTGCAGGGTCATAATTCTAATACTGTGCGATTTGCCTTTGGTGTAAATTACACGTATGAGATATCAAATTTACCCCACCTATGGGATATAACCAATTATATGTCAGCAGGGTGTTACTTCCAATTATACATCATATATCACATGGCCACTAGGCAGTGAATATCACAGTAAGAGCAGAATAATTACAAGGTCAAACTTAGGTTTGTTTTCCTTTAAACTGTCCAAATCAAGACTTAATTCTGAAAGTACATTTGTGGTTTAATTATATATTCAAACCATATCTTGACATTCTGTAACTAATCATGCCAAACCAGTGGTTGATATAATGAACAAAAAAATGACAAAAACATTTGAGTCCACCTGCCCAAAGTTGCACCTTTGCATCATTTTCAGTAGATGTTAGTGTCATCATATGGACTTTCACAAGCTGAGCTGACTGAACCCAACAGTTTTATTTGACTTGGGCTTCAAACTAGGGCTAAAGTTATAGACTGGACTGAATGCCATCCACCAAGCATAATACTTGACCACAACCCAAAACATCAACAAGCAAATTAGAGCACTGGTGTACTTATGACACTTTTGTTTGAGATTTTGTTTAAATACATCACCCAAGTTGTGCTGTTCTTGATGTTCAGCACTGGACAAAGGACGGGAGTTAAGAAGGGCCAATTATTACCTTAATAGTCGGCTGAGAATGAAAATCTGATTGGCTAATTCTTTTGATGAAGACCTGAAACTTTATGGATAACTTCTTTATTGTTTGTATCAACGTTTCAGGGCTACTTCTTTCCCCTACGTCCCCTACGTCCCTCACCTGATGAAGTAGCCCTGAAACATTGTTACCAACAACAAAGACGTTATCCATAAAAGTTTCAAGTCTATTCTTCCAACTTCTTAAAGCCTGTCAAAGACTTGAATCTTTTGACACTGTTATATCTGGCCAAATATGTGTAAATTGCGTAAAACGTTATCACCTAAAAATATATCCACTTTGAAACATCTGTCCAGATTCATCGTACATTTGAACTCATTATTGCGTTAAGGTGTCTAATTTTATTTCTTTTGATTATTATTATTATTATTATTATTATTATTAATTATTATTTTATTTGCTTAATTTTTTTAATTTTTTTATTTTAGGCTTGTTACCATCTTGATCTGCATTGTATATTATATGTTGTATATATATATGTATACTCTTGTACCACCGTTGGTGGTTTTTCAGAGAAATCAAACTGAAACTGAAATGACAATTAACCGTGTCCCGAAGCTACTCCCATGAAAACCAGAAAAAACAAAACAAAACAAATACCCTGGGAGAGAACCGTCTATCTGAAATACCTAACACCTATTCAGGTACATCACTGAGCTCCCACATAAATTTCCACCCAATCATCGTGGTCACATTATTTCACGTACAGAGCTGATCTAAATAAAGAAAGTAGGTGAACTTCACATCGGACCAGGCGGCCATTGTTATGACCCAGGAGTACATTTCTACCTCACAATGGGGGAGTTCCACAGAGGACCCAGGCGGCCATTGTTATGACCCACGAGTACATTTCTACCTCACAATGGGAGAGTTCCACAGAGGACCCAGGCGGCCATTGTTATGACCCACGAGTACATTTCTACCTCACAATGGGAGAGTCCCCACCTCCGATGGCGTGTTACAGTGCCAGGGTCAAGAGAGGGTTACTCAAGCAGGGCCGGGAATGTTTTTGACAGGGACTGACCAGGCGTGAAGCAATGGAGGTCAATCTCTAAGGGTCAACCTAATGGAACCAGAGAGGTCAATCTCGGACCAGCCCATTAATGCCATAATAAATTATTATATTTTCATTCCCTCCTGCCTCACTGCCAAACACCCACCTCACTTGTATTGTCCCCAAGTACCTACACAAGAAAAATCACACATTCTGATTTTTCTTTACGTGAAACACTGTATTCATAGTCCCACAAACATTCTAGCTTCATGGGAATCTCATCCAATGGCAGTTAATATACACAGATAACATGAAATAAAGAATCTATAGAAAATATAAGGTTGAACTATGTAATTCCATAGAGCACCCTTAAGTCTAAAGTTTGTTCAGTACTGCTTGATATGTCTTTGAACATATTTAATTCTGTATGGCTTTAGACTAATACTTAGAAATATAGTTACCTTATTTTAAAATATATATCTACAAAAAAAAGAGTAAAATCCAAATGAAGCCCTAGACAATGCTTACTTTCTCACCTTGCTAAATCATTGTAGGCGAGGAGGTGCTCGGGTAGCCTAGTGGTTAAAGCATTCGCTTGTCACACCGAAGACCTGGGTTCGATTCCCGACATGGGTACAATGTGTGAAGCCCATTTCTGGTGTCCCCCGCCGTGATATTGCTGGAATATTGCTAAAAGCGGCGTAAAATCAAACTCACTCACACATTGTAGACTAGAGTTTGATTCCATTTTAATTTATTCTCTGGGCTCGGGGAGACAGACAAGGTTTTGATATGCAATATCATGGTAGATATATGATCTAGGGTCTGGTCAGTGACAGTCCTTAGAAATGGTCCAATGACACACTGTCAATATGAAGCTACAGTAAACTACGGTTATAACGAACTCAAAGGGACTTCTAATTTTAGTTTGTTATAAGCATATATAAGTAAAACTACAGCAAATAGTCAGGTCCAAAAAAGTAAGTTCGTTATAAGTGTGTTTGTTATAACCGTAGTTTACTGTAAATGTGGACTTGGCCAGTACAATGACCTCTTCAAATAATGGCATACACTATACCCAAGTCACAAAGTGAACAAAGCTCATGCTGGCATGGCATTCCTCGACCATCTCTAACGTCAAAGTGAGTCAGTACAAAAACTTGCATCCATCTCTAAATTGTGTCCTGACACCACATTCATGTTGTCAATATTGGGGTCCGATGAAAAATATAATGAGATTCAATCTTTCAGTTTGGTGAAATGCCCCTAGCTCATAGTATCGTGATTTTGACTTGTTAGACCATGATATTTCAAACGGTGACCTCATCCCAGCAAAAGCCATCTTCAGTTTACCTGTGCATACCCTGAGACAACTCCAAGAAAGCAATTTGGAAATAAAGAAGCCATTAATGGCAGTCCCCAGTCTACTCAGCACACCTCAAAAGAGAACAAATCTGTTTGTTTGTTGTTTAACGCCACACACAGCAATATTCCAGCTATATGACGGAGGTCAGTAAATAATCGAGTCTGGACAA